GTAACTCCGCCCCTCATTCTTCCAGTAGCCCCGCCCATCACCTCGTAGTCCTGCCCTCATCCTCCTGTCGCGCCTTCCTCACCTCCTCCCCCCCCCCCTTTTCCACTCGGACTCTGCCCTTCACGTGGAGGTGTAAAACTTCTCGACAATTCTATCATATAGTGAAAAGTCAAACTTGGAAGGATAAGAGGTACAAATTGCAGAAGTCGTTTGAAGAGAAATATTTCACTGTGAAGGCTTGTCAGTCACACCCAGCCCATTTATGTATCGCCTCTGAAAGCAATAATGGTATAATAATAATAATAATGAAGATGGATGATGTATTCTTTTTTCAAATATGTGGATAATATTTTCTTGAGGTATTGGCAACAAAATTATTCTATGTAAGTAACCAATTAAGTATGATGTCCTGAAAGGAGTCGTAAATCAGGAGTTTTGAAACCTGCTCACTGGACTAACTATGTCATCTAGGACAAGCTGTGGCACGCTTCTGGCTGTTTCCTTAATGACATAATGGGAAAGTTAAGTTAGAGGCTCTGAAGACTTGACCTCACCATTTCATGATTCTGTGAAACTATGTCCTATTTTTTTAATGATTTAATGAAAAATTGCAAGGGAATTTTAATCAGAAAATACATCACCTTCTCAGACAAAGGAAACAAAAGCAAAAATAAACAAATGGGACTATGCCAAGCTAAAAAGCTTTTGCACAGTGAAGGAAATTATCAGCTAGATGAAAAGACCACCTGCTGAATAGAAGATATTTGCAAGTGATATATGCGATAAGGGGTAAATATCCAAAATGTACAGAGAACTCATACAATGCAACTTCCAAAAAGTAAAAAACCCGGTTAAAAAATGAGTAGAGGATCTGAATAGACATTTTTCCAAAGAAGATATACAGATGACTAACAGGCACATGAAAAGATGTTCAACATCATTAATCAACAGGTAAATGTAAATCAAAACTACAAGCAGATGTCACCAACAAATAACAAGTGTTGGCAAAGATGTGGAGAAAAGGGAACCCTTGTGTAATGTTGGTGGGAATGTAAACTGGTGCAGCCACCATGGAAAACAGTATGGAGATTCCACAAAAAAATTAAAAATAAAACTACCATATGATCCATCAGCTCCACGCCTGGGTATTTATCCAAGGAAAACAAAAACACTAATTCAAAAAGATTCATGCTCCCCAATATTCAGAGTAGTATATTTACAGTGGCCAAGATGTAGAAGCAACTTAAGTGCCTATTGACAGATGAATGAAGATGTGGGATATATATATACAATAAAGTATTATTCTACCATAAAAAGAATGAAATTCTGCTGTTTGTGACAACATGGAGGAACCTAGAGAGTATTCACTACATGAAATAAGTCAGACAGAGAAAGACAAATACTACATGATTTTACTTATATGTGAAATCTAAAAAAGAAATGAACAAACTTAACAAAACAGAGATGGTTATAGATACAGAGAACAAACAGGTGGTTGCCAGAGGGTAGGGGTATGAGAGGAGAAGAGAAATAGGTGAGGGAGATTAAGAGGTACAAACTTCCAGTTGCAAAATAAATGAGTCACAGGTATGAAATACACAGTGCGGGGAATATAGTCAATAACTATGTAATAAAAAATACATTACTTATTGAATACATTCATTAATCAAGAGTTGAGCTAATAAATGTTTAAAACTTATAATGCTTTAATAAATGTTATCACCTGCTAAGACCCTTTTTTGGTAGGGAAGAGGGGTTAAAAATTAACTCTGAAATCAGATAAGTCTAGGTTCCACTCTAATCCACTAATTCTGCCATTATGTGCAAGTTAATTTAACTATACATTTCTCAATTCTTTTGTCTGTGAAATGGGAATAATGTTAAAGCTGTTGAGATATGGATTAATTCCTTTTTAGATCTAGTTGAAATGCCTTGAACATACCAAGATTTCAATCGATCATGCTATTGAAATTATTATAGAGATTTTTTAACTTGGTCTAGCAGAAGTTTTGCCAACAAGACTACATTATATAATTCTGTCTCACATTTGGTCATTTTTTTCCCTTAACAAAGGTACCGGGGATTGAACCCAGGACCACATGAATGCCAAGCATGCACTCTACCACTGAGCTATCCCTTGACCCTCACGTTTGGAATAGATAACAATGTACACTATCATTTATTGAGTGCACACTGTATGGCAAGTTGTATCCCAAATGCTCTCCATGCAGTAACTTATTTAATTCTTAGAACATTTCTATGAGAAAAGATAATTAATAAGCATATTTTATAAACAACAGAACTGAGACAGACTTTAAGTAACTTTCTCAAGATCACACTACCATTAAAGGCAGAACTGGGGATAAACACTAGTATTCTGACTCCAGAACTTGGCACTTAGCTACTATACTCTTTTTACCTTCAGTGAGAAATTTTAGCAAGCACAATGATAGATATACATTTCACATGTAAAATTATATCCTCTAGCTTGCACTGGAAACTAACTCTCAGAGGTATTTTGAGGAACCTGAAATGTAACGACATACTCGTGTAGAATGCAGGCGTTGTTGGCAATGAACCGGTCTGTTCTAGAAAATAAATGGAACAGTATCCTTATGAAAACAAAATGTTAAGGAGACACCACAGTTTCCAAACTTTTCAGTTCCCTCTGCATGTGTCCTAGTATTTAATCGCCCCAGCAGAGTTTGAACATCCTAAAATAGGGTTGCTAGTTGATGAAGTAATGTTTATAAAACCCAGATCTGTCATTACAAACGTCCCCCTACCAAAAAAAATTAAGATCAGTCCTTATGAACTTCTATGACAACTGACTAAAATCTTGAGGTTTTCCACCACTACTTATCTGGGTAAGTGGTATACATGTGTGTATTTATGTATCTGTCTATGGAACTATGTGTATTAAACATGTATATAGAGAAAAAGGTGTACAGAAATTTAACTTGAAAGAGAAGTAGAAACTTTTAGTTACTTATGATCTTATGTTGTAGATAATTTCAAATTTATAATTGTTAAAACTATTTTAGAGAATATTTTAGACCTTAAAAATGACACTCCAAAAATCAATTTTTCTAGAAATTTTGACACAGTTGCAATTACAACTTGAAATTCACTTTATTCATAACGGACTCAACTGACAATCTTCCCATCAACTGGTGAATGAATAAACAAATTGTAGTGCATCCATTCTGAGGAATCAGCAATAAAAGTAAACTAATGAGACATGCAATAACACAGATGAATCTCAAAACGCTGTACTAAGTGAAAAAAGCCTGCCATCAAAGTCTATCCGCTGTATGAGTCCATGTAGGTGACTACATAAAGCTATAGGAACAGAAATGATATCAGTGATTGTCAGGGGATGAGGTCAGGGGGAAGGAGCCAGGAAGGAACTTTTTATGGTGGTGAAAATAATTCATGTCTTAATTATGGTGGTAGTTACATGACTATACATATTTGTCAAAACTCCTATAACTGTGCTTCTAGGAAAAAAAGATGACTTTTGCTATAAATTATACCTCAATAAACTTTACTTGAAAAATTAAGAACACGAGAGAGAAAAAAAAGCATATCAACCAAATGCAATGTGTGAATTTCAGTTTTACTAATTTTTTTAGTGGAGGTACTGGTGATTGAACCCAGGACCTCATGCAGGCTAAGCACACACTGTATCACTGAACTATACCCTACTCACCGCATGTGTGAATTTTGATCCAAGTCTGGTTGAGAACAAAGAAGCTATACAGAGCATTAAGCAACAGTAGAAAACTAAAGTATTGATTATTGAATGGCAGGGAATTGTACATTTTTTTAAGATAGTATAATGCTATCTTGCTTCTGGAAGAGAATGTCCTTACTCTTTCATATTCTTTTCCCATCTATGTACATTCACTTTAGTAGCCTTTTCTGACAAAATTATCCTCAGACATAAAGGCTCTACAGGACTGTAATTGCCGAGTTAATAAAGTGTGCTTGTAATATGCACGCAGTAGGTGGCAGCAGCGTTCACCAAAAGCAAAACAAAACAAAACAAACCCCCCAAAACCAAAAAACAATATTATGCACTGGATCTTAAAGGTCTGCATGGAGTCCGTAATTTCAAAGTGCTGTATTACAGATTGACTGAGCTTTATGTTTCCCAAATTACTTTTGTGTCAACTGTTTGAGTCTTAGTTGCAATTATATTTTATTATATATACACTGTTTCTCTTAGCAAGAACACAACAAATCTCTATCCTGTAGGTCTCCATTCTGTAGCCAATAGTTTACTTCTCTTCAGTGTAATTCTTACCTCATAAGAAGGAGCTTTTGTCATTTAAAACACACTTCAACTTTCAACACTTTAATAATGTAGTTCTGCATTATAATTTTAACCTTGCAAAGACAAATTACTTTGCTGGTACTAGGCAAAAATTTAAATAATGTACATTCATATTTTTGACATGGATAAATTATTTGAAAAATGCAGTTTATCAAACAGCGTGTACATTATTTACCTGCTTACATAAATATATACAAGTAGAGAAAAAGTGCTGAAAAAGTGCCAGAAAAGTGATGATACCCATCAAAACAGTGCTAATGGTTGGATGGTAGAGTAAGATGTGATTTTTTTTAATATGTGATTTTCATTCCCTTCTTTATGCTTTTCTTTTGCTTAAACTTATATAATTTTTCTACTTATAATAAAAAATAAGACATTATTTAAGTTAAGTGTGTATAGGACATGATATGTAAGATGTTTGTAAATTCAAGTGCCTACAAAAATTTGTAAACAATAAAATGCCAAAACTAGAGCTTACTGGCAACCCCTACCAGTAAGAGATTTATGAGGTAAATGAAATA